GTCTCTAGTAGTCTATAGTCAGCACTATATTCTAGTCTGGTCTATAGTTTAGTTTCGACTATGATCTAGACTATAGTCAGGACTATAGTCTACTCTATAGTCTGGTCTATAGTCTGCACTGTAGTCGAGTCTACAGTCTGGACTGTAGTCTAGTCTATAGTCTGGACTGTAGTCTACTCTATAGTCTAGTCTATAGTCTGGGCTACAGTCTAGTCTATAGTCTGGACTACAGTCTAGTCTATAGTCTGGACTACAGTCTAGTCTATAGTCTGGACTACAGTCTAGTCTATAGTCTGGACTACAGTCTAGTCTATAGTCTGGACTATAGTCTAGTCTATAGTCTGGACTATAGTGTGGAATATAGTCTAGTCAATAGTCTGATCTATAGTCTGGACTATAATCTAGTCTATAGTCTGGACTATAATCTAGTCTATAGTCTGGACTATAGTCTAGTCTATAGTCTGGACTATAGTCTAGTCTATAGTCTGGACTATAGTCAAATCTATAGTCTGGACTATAGTGTGGAATATAGTCTAGTCTAGTATGGACTATAGTCAAGTCTATAGTCTAGTCTATAGTCTGGACTATAGTCAAGTCTCTAGTCTTGACTATAGTCTGGACTACAGTTTAGTCTATATAGTTTACTCTAGAGTCTGGACTATTGTCTACTCTGTAGTCTGGACTATTGTTTACTCCGTATACTGGAATATAGTCTACTCTATAGTCTAGTCTAGTCTACAGTCTGTACTACAGTCTCTAGTAGTCTATAGTCAGCACTATATTCTAGTCTGGTCTATAGTTTAGTTTCGACTAGGAATATTGCGTGTATCGTCATGTGTGGTTTCTGCACATTTAATATCTTCAAATACCAACAAAATATTTGCCATTCTCCGGCTTTTTAAAGAAACATTTTTAATAAAAATTATTGTTCTTCTTTTTTGGCTTTATTACCCAAAACAGAAATTCACGTGCTCTCTACTCCCTACAATATGAACCAAAAACATCACGTACGTGATGTTTTTTGAGCAGTTTCTCCTTTTTGTTCATTTATTTAAAGCACAGACCTTTTTAAAGCATTTTTTCGGCCACAGTTGAGCGACAGATGTTGTTGCAACACTTTAAAACACTTTTAGGCCTTCACACAAACATACATAACTACCAATGCAAAAAACACTAACCAGAGTATGTGTGTTGTTGTGGTTGTTTTTATTGTATTTTGGTTGCCTGGAAGCTTAAAAAAGCAACATGTGTGTGTTTTGGAATGAATTTTCTAGGATTCACTAGGGCAAAAACAAGAAAAAATTGAATTGTTATTACTTATACGTATTATACATATAACGATTACTTTTGCATATGTATGTAGTATAGGGAAAGTATGGTTGCTCCAACTTTTAAACTAGAGACTTACTTGATACTAAAGTTATTTCCATAGCTCCCAATAAATTATTAAAGGAAATTAATAGTATACAAACTCAGTCTCATTTTCAGCGGGTATCTTCTGGAAACATTTTTTTGAGCATATCTACTAAACACACATACATACATTTGTTGAACGAACATCATCTTTTTTTTTCTAGTATTTTATTGCTTTAGCAATTTGTTGTTATTATTTTATTAATATGTGTACTGTTCTTTTTTGAAGAGAGATTACAATCTTTTTGGTTGTACGAATACGAGCCGTTTAACTTTAAGTATCTCTATTAGTGTTTAGTGTTAGTGGCAGGAGATTTTTTTAGTTTTAAATAGTTTAATGCTGCAGGGGCAAAGAGTTGCAAAGATTTTAATAAAGACGTAATATTATGGTTCATGACAAAAATTAGAGGAAAATCAACAATGTGACTACAAACTTGACAAAAAACAAGGATTCATAGTGTACTATCGTGTTGTCTAGTGTACAATTCAGTGTATAGTCGAATGTATACTCTAGTCTAGTCTATAGTCTAGTCTATAGTCTAGTCTATAGTCTAGTCTATAGTCTAGTCTATAGTCTAGTCTATAGTCTAGTCTATAGTCTAGTCTATAGTCTAGTCTATAGTCTAGTCTATAGTCTAGTCTATAGTCTAGTCTATAGTCTAGTCTAGTCTATAGTCTAGTCTATAGTCTAGTCTATAGTCTAGTCTATAGTCTAGTCTATAGTCTAGTCTATAGTCTAGTCTATAGTCTAGTCTATAGTCTAGTCTATAGTCTAGTCTATAGTCTAGTCTATAGTCTAGTCTAGTCTATAGTCTAGTCTATAATCTAGTCTATAGTCTAGTCTATAGTCTAGTCTATAGTCTAGTCTATAGTCTAGTATATAGTCTAGTCTATAGTCTAGTCTATAGTCTAGTCTATAGTCTAGTCTCTAATCTAGTCCATAGTCTAGTCTATAGTCTAGTCTATAGTCTTGTCTATAGTCTAGTCTATAGTCTAGTCTATAGTCTAGTCTATAGTCTAGTCTATAGTCTAGTCTATTGTCAAGTCTGTAGTCTAGTCTATAGTCTAGTCTATAGTCTATTCTATAGTCTATTCTATAGTCTAGTCTATAGTCTAGTCTATAGTCTAGTCTATTCTATAGTCTATTCTATAGTCTATAGTCTTGTCTATAGTCTAGTCTATAGTCTAGTCTATAGTCTAGTCTATAGTCTAGTCTATAGTCTAGTCTATAGTCTAGTCTATAGTCTAGTCTATAGTCTAGTCTATAGTCTAGTCTATAGTCTAGTCTATAGTCTAGTCTATAGTCTAGTCTATAGTCTAGTCTATAGTCTAGTCTATAGTCTAGTATATAGTCTAGTCTATAGTCTAGTCTATAGTCTAGTCTATAGTCTAGTCTCTAATCTAGTCCATAGTCTAGTCTATAGTCTAGTCTATAGTCTTGTCTATAGTCTAGTCTATAGTCTAGTCTATAGTCTAGTCTATAGTCTAGTCTATAGTCTAGTCTATTGTCAAGTCTGTAGTCTAGTCTATAGTCTAGTCTATAGTCTATTCTATAGTCTATTCTATAGTCTAGTCTATAGTCTAGTCTATAGTCTAGTCTATTCTATAGTCTATTCTATAGTCTATAGTCTTGTCTATAGTCTAGTCTATAGTCTAGTCTATAGTCTAGTCTATAGTCTAGTCTATAGTCTAGTCTATAGTCTAGTCTATAGTCTAGTCTATAGTCTAGTCTATAGTCTAGTCTATAGTCTAGTCTATAGTCTAGTCTATAGTCTAGTCTATAGTCTAGTCTATAGTCTAGTCTATAGTCTAGTCTATAGTCTAGTCTATAGTCTAGTCTATAGTCTAGTCTATAGTCTAGTCTATAGTCTAGTCTATAGTCTAGTCTATAGTCTAGTCTATATTCTAGTCTATAGTCTAGTCTATAGTCTAGTCTATAGCCTAGTCTATAGTCTAGTCTATAGTCTAGTCTATAGTCTAGTCTATAGTCTAGTCTATAGTCTAGTCTATAGCCTAGTCTATAGTCTAGTCTATAGTCTAGTCTATAGTCTAGTCTATAGTCTAGTCTATAGTCTAGTCTATAGTCTAGTCTATAGTCTAGTCTATAGTCTAGTCTATAGTCTAGTCTATAGTCTAGTTTATAGTCTAGTCTATAGTCTAGTCTAGTATAGTCAGTCTATAGTCTAGTCTATAGTTAGTCTATAGTATAGTCTATAGTCTAGTCTATAGTCTAGTCTATAGTCTAGTCTATAGTCTAGTCTATAGTCTAGTCTATAGTCTAGTCTATAGTCTAGTCTATAGTCTAGTCTATAGTCTAGTCTATAGTCTAGTCTATAGTCTAGTCTATAGTTAGTCATAGTCTAGTCTTAGTCTAGTCTATAGTCTAGTCTATAGTCTGTCTATAGTCGAGTCTATAGTCTAGTCTATAGTTCTAGTCTATAGTCTAGTCTATAGTCTAGTCTATAGTCTAGTCTATAGTCGAGTCTATAGTCTAGTCTATAGTCTAGTCTATAGTCTAGTCTATAGTCTATAGTCTAGTCTATAGTCTAGTCTATAGTCTAGTCTATAGTCTAGTCTATAGTCTAGTCTATAGTCTAGTCTATAGTCTAGTCTATAGTCTAGTCTATAGTCTAGTCTATAGTCTAGTCTATAGTCTAGTCTATAGTCTAGTCTATAGTCTAGTCTATAGTCTAGTTTATAGTCTAGTCTATAGTCTAGTCTATAGTCTAGTCTAGTCTAGTCTATAGTCTAGTTTATAGTCTAGTCTATAGTCTAGTCTTTAATATACTCTATAGTCTAGTATATAGTCTTGTCTACAGTTTTGTCTACAGTCTAGTCTATGGTCTAGTCTATAGTCTAGTCTATAGTCTAGTCTATAGTCTAGTCTATAGTCTAGTCTATAGTCTAGTCTATAGTCTAGTCTATAGTCTAGTCTATAGTCTAGTCTATAGTCTAGTCTATAGTCTAGTCTATAGTCTAGTCTATAGTCTAGTCTATAGTCTAGTCTATAGTCTAGTCTATAGTCTAGTCTATAGTCTAGTCTATAGTCTAGTCTATAGTCTAGTCTATAGTCTAGTTTATAGTCTAGTCTATAGTCTAGTCTATAGTCTAGTCTATAGTCTAGTCTATAGTCTAGTCTATAGTCTAGTCTATAGTCTAGTCTATAGTCTAGTCTATTTTCTAGTCTATAGTCTAGTCTATTTTCTAGTCTATTTTCCAGTCTATGGTTTAGTCTATAGTGAAAACTACAGTCTAATCTGTGGTACATTCTAGAGTCCATTGTAAGACAAATTGGTTTGCTATCCAACTCTATAATTTTTACATCTCAATTTTACCTCTATTCTGAAAAGTAGTGCATACCTTAAGGCTGTTAAATTTAACTCACCATAGTCTCTATTAGTGAAGGCAACAACTAATTCGCAACATTAGTTTTTTTAGCACAGACAAAAACCATTTTATTAATGGTGTATGTTGTTTGCTACTACTGTGAATGAATTTAATTCTATAATTTAAAAATAATCTATAAATTAACCACTTTTTTGCTTAATTTTTATTTTTGTCCCAGATATGAAAACAAAAAATTTTAATACTTTTCATTTTATTTCCATTAAATTCTTCTTAATTATAAATATTTAACATTTCACTAATTCAAAATTTTATAACTAATTTAAAAGCACTTGTTTAAGAATATTTTTCAGGACTCGTTTCTGTTGACTATGTTTAATTAACATATCCTAACTATTGATTATTTTCATCAACAATTTCTATAGTAATACTTGGCAAATTATCCTCAACCGCTATAGGTTGTGCTGCTTCTACTTCTACTTCTGCTTCCCCTTCCTTTTCATTTTGCACCAAAGGCTTTAAACTAACATCACTCGCTCGACGTGTTGTAATGGATTTTCTACGTTTATTTAAAATATCGAATTTTAAGGACACTACTGGTTGTAAATGACTTAAGGGATTAGAGTTGCTATTACGTCTACTAGTAGAAGAGGAATTCGAGGTACTTTGACCATTAGATACACCGCAGGCGCCTTCCACTTCCAATTCATTGTTGTTTGATTTTGCTTCAGGAGTTTCGGCTTCTCGGCGCACACAGTAGCGTCCTTCTGTGGAACGGGAACGGCGCATTTTCATGGACTCTTGACGTACACTCAATAAGTTCTATTAACGGTTAAAGAAAATCAAAAAATGTTCATAAATTTGATGCAAAATTTATATCATACCTCCTGCATTTCCATTCTTTGGCTATTTTTACGGGCTCTCCTTAAACCATGTTGCTCTTCCAACTTATTAGCCACCGTACACATCCAATCTTTAGCTTGAGCCAAACCCATCGATGACTGTGATCTCTCGGGTAGGCCCTCATTGAAAATTGAACTTCTACGTCGTGTTTCACTACCACCCTCCAACACAAATACTCTGGGAAAGTCTATAACAAAATCACGACTTCTTATGAGATCAGCTAAAGCTCCAGTAGGTCTTACATTACTACTGTTGACTGAACTGTTTGCTGCAGCATCGGCTGGAGTTGTTTCTGCCGGATATTCCAAAATACTTTCCTCACTGCCAATGAACTAAATGAGTAAATAAGGGAATTTTTATTAAACACTTTACTTAAACTAGTTATTGAACTAGTTTGACGACCTTCGATCAGGTTCATTCAAGCATAAGCTATATTAATTCATAGAATAAATAAATAGACTAGTTCAGACTATAGACTAGACTGTAGTGTATACCACACTACAGAATAGACTATAGATTAGTTTAGTCTATAATCTGGACTATAATCTAGTCTATAGTCTAGACTAGTTTGTTGTCTGGACCATAGGCTAGTTTAATGCCTGTACTATAGTCTAGTCTGAAGTCTGGAGTATAGACTAGACTGTAGTCCATACAATACTACAGAACAGACTATAGTCTGGACTATAGCGTAGTCTATAGTTTGCAGTATATATTCCGGACTGTAGTCTAGTCTATAGTCTGGACTATAGTGTAGTCTATAGTCTGGACTATAGTCTAGTCTATAGTCTGGACTATAGTCTAGTCTATAGTCTGGACTATAGTCTAGTTTATAGTCTGGACTATAGTCTAGTTTATAGTCTGGACTATAGTCTAGTCAATTGTCTGGAATATAGTCTAGTCTATAGCCTGGACTATAGTCTAGTCTATAGTCTGGACTAGGTCATATAATAGTCTATAGTTATTCTATAGTCTAGTCTATAGTTCTAGTCTATAGTCTGTCTATAGTTTAGTCTATAGTCTAATCTCTCGTTAGTCTTAGTCTAGTCTATAGTCTAGTCTATAGTCTATTCTATAGTCTTAGTCTATCGTCTATTCTATAGTCTAGTCTATAGTCTAGTCTATAGTCTAGTCTATAGTCTAGTATCATAGTCTTCGTCTATAGTCTAGTCATGTCTAGTCTATAGTCTAGTCTATAGTCTAGTCTATGTTAGTGTTTAGTCTATCGTCTAGTCTATAGTATAGTCTATGTCTAAGTCTATAGTCTAGTTCTATAGTATAGTCTATAGCTATAGTATAGTCTATAGTTAGTCTATAGTCTAGTCATTAGTCAGTCTTAGGTCTATAGTCTAGTCTATAGTCTAGTCTATAGTCTAGTCTATAGTCTAGTCTATAGTCTAGTCTATAGTCTAGTCTATAGTCTAGTCGATAGTCTAGTCTATAGTCTAGTCGATAGTCTAGTCTATAGTCTAGTCGATAGTCTAGTCTATAGTCTAGTCTATAGTCTAGTCGATAGTCTAGTCTATAGTCTAGTCTATAGTCTAGTCTATAGTCTAGTCTATAGTCTAGTCTATAGTCTAGTCTATAGTCTAGTCTATAGTCTAGTCTATAGTCTAGTCTATAGTCTAGTCTATAGTCTAGTCTATAGTCTAGTCTATAGTCTAGTCTATAGTCTAGTCTATAGTCTAGTCTATAGTCTAGTCTATAGTCTAGTCTATAGTCTAGTCTATAGTCTAGTCTATAGTCTAGTCTATAGTCTAGTCTATAGTCTAGTCTATAGTCTAGTCTATAGTCTAGTCTATAGTCTAGTCTATAGTCTAGTATAGTCTAGTCTATAGTCTAGTCTATAGTCTAGTCTATAGTCTAGTCTATAGTCTAGTCTATAGTCTAGTCTATAGTCTAGTCTATAGTCTAGTCTATAGTCTAGTCTATAGTCTAGTCTATAGTCTAGTCTATAGTCTAGTCTATAGTCTAGTCTATAGTCTAGTCTATAGTCTAGTCTATCGTCTAGTCTAGAGTCTAGTCTATAGTCTAGTCTATAGTCTAGTCTAGTCTAGTCTATAGTCATGTCTATAGTCTAGTCTATAGTCTAGTCTATAGTCTAGTCTATAGTCTAGTCTATAGGCTAGTCTATAGTCTAGTCTATAGTCTAGTCTATAGTCTAGTCTCTAGTCTAGTCTATAGTCTAGTCTATAGTTAGTCATAGTCTAGTCTATAGTCTAGTCTATAGTCTAGGTCTATAGTCTAGTCTATAGTCTAGTCTATAGTCTAGTCTATAGTCTAGTCTATAGTCTAGTGCTAGTAGTCTAAGTCTATAGTCTAGTCTATAGTCTAGGTCTATAGTCTAGTCTAAATCTAGCTATAGTCTAGTCTATAGTCTAGGCTATAGGTCTAGTCTATAGTCTAGTCTATAGTCTAGTCTATAGTCGTTAGTCTATAGTCTAGTCTATAGTCTAGTCTATAGTCTAGTCTATAGTCTAGTCTATAGTCTAGTCTATAGTCTAGTCTATAGTCTAGTCTATAGTCTAGTCTATAGTCTAGTCTAGTCTAGTCTATAGTCTAGTCTATAGTCTAGTCTATAGTCTAGTCTATAGTCTAGTCTATAGTCTAGTCTATAGTCTAGTCTATAGACTAGTCAAGTCTATAGTCTAGTCTATAGTCTAGTCGATAGTCTAGTCTATAGTCTAGTTTATAGTCTAGTCTATAGTATAGTCTATTCTATAGTATAGTCTAGTCTATAGTATAATCTAGTCTATAGTCTTTAAATAAAAGCTTTCTATTTCGTAATAACTTTATTTTGCTAAAATCTTTGGCATAACAAAGATTTTTAACGACAAATTTGATTCCCAGATAATAAATGAAATATTATTGTCACAGATTTTGAATTAAAAAATAAGCTTTTTTCTTAAAAGCTTTTGATTTTAATGAAATTTATGTGTATCTCTCTAGCATTAGGTGAATGATGTGAAAACTTACAGCAGTTGAAACATTTAAGCAAAGCTTTGTAATTTTGTTTACTAAAAGCTCTAATTTAAGCTCTAGCTATAAACAATAGACCAATTAAAAAAGCAGTTTATAAATTATTTTTAGTTTTTTAAACATATATTTCTTTCGACATTTAATTGTTGTTTTTTTTTTGTATTTTTTAGTTATTTAACTTATTTAGTATCGTATTTTCTCGGTAATACTTTTTTTATAGATTTTAGAAAAAATGTTAAACTTAAATTAAAGATTATTTACATTAAATTTTTTCAGCGAATTTTAGCAATTATTTAAATTTTCGTGTATTTTTTATATAAATGACTAGTAGTCTTTTTCTTTAAGACGCTGACAAATTTTTTTACTAATTTTAAAGTTTTTTTTTTTTCATCTTTAATTTCGTTTTAGCACTACTATAACTATTATAAGGTGTACAAAAATTGTTTTTTTTAGCTTAAATTATGTTTAAACTTAAATTATAATTAGTAGGTTATAAAACTTATAACTCGATTTTTTATATATTTTTCTTTCTTGTCTCAAGTCTTAGAACTCTTAAGTATTGATTTTTGGGATCAGTTTAAAGCCATTTTTTAAACTAAAACTATTTTAAAATTACAAAAAATTAATAATTATGATTAAATTATAAAAAAAATATACAATAAACAAATATTTACAATATTTTTGTGTTTTTTTTAAGAAATAACTACAAATAAAACTCAAAAAGCTCAAAAATACATATTGAATACAACAGCAGCAGGAGCTTGAAACAAAAATCTATTCCAGAAATGTAAATACACTGGGGAGCTTTAAGCTTTAAGGTTACGAAGTTTACTGGACTAGAGACCTAACTAGAACTGAACTAGAGACCTAACTAGAACTGAACAGAACTAGAACTGACTAGAACTGAACTAGAACTGAACTAGAACCTGAACTAGAACTGAACTGAACTAGAACTGAACTAGAACTGAACTAGAACTGAACTAGAACTGAACTAGAACTGAACTAGAACTGAACTAGAACTGAACTAGAACTGAACTAGAACTGAACTAGAACTGAACTAGAACTGAACTAGAACTGAACTAGAACTGAACTAGAACTGAACTAGAACTGACCTAGAACTGAACTAGAACTGAACTAGAACTGAACCTAGAACTGAACTAGAACTGACTAGAACTGAACTAGACTGAACTAGAACTGAACTAGAACTGAACTAGAACTGAACTAGAACTGAACTAGAACTGAACTAGAACTGAACTAGAACTGAACTAGAACTGAACTAGAACTGAACTAGAACTGAACTAGAACTGAACTAGAACTGAACTAGAACTGAACTAGAACTGAACTAGAACTGAACTAGAACTGAACTAGAACTGAACTAGAACTGAACTAGAACTGAACTAGAACTGAACCTAGAACTGAACTAGAACTGAACTAGAACTGAACTAGAACTGAACTAGAACTGAACTAGAACTGAACTAGAACTGAACTAGAACTGAACTAGAACTGAACTAGAACTGAACTAGAACTGAACTAGAACTGAACTAGAACTGAACTAGAACTGAACTAGAACTGCACTAGAACTGAACTAGAACTTAACTTAGAACTTAGAATAGTGTAGTAATCCAGACTACAGTCGAATCAGTAGTCTAGAATATGGTCCGATCGATAGTCTATGCTATAGTTTAACCAATAGTCTAGACTGTAGCCTAGTCAATAGTCTAGTTTATAGTTCTCTCAGTAGCTCAAGTACCTACATAACACAGCAAAGCATTTCTCTTAGCACTTAAACAAAATCTACAAATTAAAAAAAATCCAAAAAATTTCTTCTACTAAATTCTTCATTTGTTTTTTTTGCTATTGGCAGCTCTAGTTACTTGCACTGGTACCCTAAACAACTGCTACATATTTTAGACATCAGTCACCAAATGACTGCCAGTATTAACTTGACCTTGTTGCTGCTGCTGCTGCAGTATAAAACCCGTGCTCCAGGCTTGATTAATATCACTATTTGTTAAATTATTACTATTACTACTATTATAATTATAACTACTATCTACAGCATCTACTGCTGCTGCAGGTGCTGGTGGTCTATGATAATTTTGCATATGTGTTTCAATAATATCTTCCCTACTGCTGTGTGGCTCTATAGTTGTAATCGTTTGTGTCTCTACACTAGCTTGGTGGCACTAATCTACTGGGAGTATTATTGCTACTACTACTAGTACTACTGCTATTGACTGCAGCTACTGATGTTGATGATAATAATGAGTTGGTATGGGATGTGGGCACTACACCTACAACTACTACAGGCACATCTGTATCATCTAAAGGCGCTGTATTATTAGCGGGCATATGTCGGGGTGAGGGTGTTGTATGGATTTCATCACCCACCACATAACCATAGAATTTTAAAACATCCAATTTGCACATGGGACAGGTGCGATGCTCTATTAACCA